GCTGTGAATGGATCTGGCCCTTCCTACATCCAGGACATGGTTAAACCGTACACCCCAGCACGTGCACTCCGCTCTGCATCAGCCAAACAGCTCGCTGCACCCGCACTGCGAGGGGGACCCAAGTTCCCATCAGCAGAAACTCGTGGGTTTGTTATCCTGGCTCCAAAATGGTGGAATGAGCTCCCCATTGAAATCAGGACAGCAGAAAGCTTACACATCTTCTTCAGACTGAAAACTCATCTCTTTGGACTCCACTTCCAGAGATTGAATTACTAACAAAGCACTTATATACTAATAAAGGACTGGCTTATCTAAAGCCAGTTGAGTAGCACTTGAAATGTTTGGCTCTATGAAACCTGATGAACTTATATGATTCTGTTTTCTTCAAGTTTGTATCATCTTGGTCGAATGCACTTATTGTAAGTCTCTTTGGATAAAAGCAGCAGCTAAATGCAATGCTGCAATGATAATTACATTGCATTTAGCTGAGGCTTTTAAGGGTCCAAAATAATCTCCTCCACTGGTTTGAGTGATTATTTGAAGAAGATAAAACAGCTTTACGTTTGTCAAAAATACCTGCCAGAAAATAGTAGATAATGAATCTCGTGTATTTCAACAAGTAGCTTTATAGATGTTACTAAAAGTGTTAACAAATAAATCCCTTTCTGAACACATTCAGAAGACTGATGAGGCACCACAGGAGATTTACATTATGTCATTGTCATAATTCATGACAACAAATATGTTGGCACAGAGAGCTGTTCAAATTAGAAACATAAAGGTAAACATTGAACTATATAAATACAATATCAATGTAGTGTCTTACATACAACAGTACTGTTTACGCTTCGGTATTGTGAGGTTGTAAACACGGAAGTGGATCGTCACAACAACACATTCAGACCTTTCTGATGAATGCTGTGAGTAAACCTGACCCACGCGTGAAACAGCAACACTGTCTACTAAGAGTATTTACTTACCAATGTTGACGGGATAGCAGAATGCGCAGGTTGTTTCACACCAGTGCTATGCATGGATGTATGGTGCCGTGCTGCTTCTCTGCACGATGAGACTTCCGGGGTGTTTCCTGCAGGGTAACTCCTTCCTGCAGAGAGGCAGCAGCTGCTGAACGCGTCACATGTAAACAACATATAGGTAAACTATTGACAGACTGTTGCCTGTATTCATTGTATTAGATCGCCACCTTGTGGTGAGTATTCGCTATTACTGGCAGTATTATAACCTCATACAGTTAAATGCAGTTTAATTGCCTGATAAATATAACGTGAATTTAAAAAGAAGCAACTATTATTTGCACATTACGATATTTTTATTTGGATTTCATGTTGAGTGCGGACTCTGACAACATCTAACAGGAAAACAATGGTAAACAAAATACACGGATCCAGTTTTATGTGTATCATTTTTAAATATTAAACAATAAATAAAAAGCAGCCGTTACGCACGCCGCTGTAACAGCCGTGACAGCCGTTACGCACGCCGCACGCACGCCGCCGCTGTGTGGACGGGCCGTAATATCTAATGCAATTCTGCAGCAAAACTGTGGATTAAAAAGGGATAAAAGTCAATGTATGGAAGATTCATGCAACGCTGACGCATGCGATAGATCGCCAAATGTACCTTGATAAAAAAATCGATAGGCAGTGAAAAGTAACTACATTTACGATGTTTTATATATGATAAATATAATACTGTGAAAAGATCCATTCTGCATAACGAGTACTTAGACATTTTAATGTTACATGTTAAACCGTTAAGTGTAGAGTAATTGGCTGAACACACTATTCTCACAGCACAGTGTGTACATTCAGTTACAGCCACTGCAGAAACACACTCCCGTTCATGAGAATCAAAAACAGAGGATAATTACATTCATGTTCAGCAGTCACCAAACACTGAGCAGTAACATTAAGGCTCTGGATTCACACAGGAACCATTAAGGCTCTGGATTCACACAGGAACAAACATGGTTAGTGAGTCAGGGGTTTTACATTAGGGTAACAAGTAGGAACAGAACACACAACCTCAGCTCAACAGAACACACATCTTCTACTCTGAGCTACATGACTGAACACACTTGACAGTTGCTTGGTACACATTTGTACTTCTGTGGGAAATTGGACAGTTACTGCACAACCTCAGATCTTCTAACCAGACTCGTATCACTCTGAGCTGTCGCACCTAAACACATCTCAGTTGTCTTGGAGAGGTTTTGTTTTCTACTTTTTGGAAATTTGACTTATAAATGTAGTGCACCTTAAGAATCAAACACAAAACCTCAGATCTTCTAACCCAACATCTATCACACTATATGATCAGATATGTTTTCATAATGTCTGTTTTGATTCCTTCTCTTTGGGTGTTGGATCTAACAATAAATTGATAAACATATTACACACGGTGAGAGTTGAACTCACAAAGCTAATCCATCTGACAGGCAGTGTCACATAGAAATACAACTAGTATGCAATAAGAAAAACTTCAGCCCAAATAAAGTCACATTTCCTTATGAGAATTGAGCTCATAACCGTAAAGCTTACATCGAGCAAGTACGCATTAAAATGTACTTAGTTTCAAAGGTTTTATTGTTAAGATTCAAGGCCTGTTAGTAAGCTGAAGAGTGAACAATAATGTAATAAAAACAATCACCTCTTAAACTTTATTGCACGGTCATTTTATTTGCAAATGCAGGTTTTTAGGTATCACAGCGTAAGAATACAGAAATGAGGCAGAGAGCAGATAATTAAGCAGCAGCCTTGTGGCCTATTAGGGATCATATTTACATCAAAACATGGCAAAAAGGTGCATGTGATCAATGCATGTAAAAAATGAACAGTAGGCCACAAAGTGAAACAACGGTCACACCTAAAAAGTGTAATGCTGCATATTTGCGCTGAAAAACATGCCATTTAAGCGCTAATGCAAGAAGCATTTGAGGTGTGGGTAAAAAATAGTGTATGCCATTAATAACCAAATATTTAAAGAGCAGAGACGAACGTCAGTAGATCACACAGTTCTTCAGATGTTAATTAAAACTGTAACTAGTGGATGACCTTAATCTACCAGTAGGCTACGTGTGTACATCTGGACCACATTTGATTACAGTTTAGATACTAACAGTGACATTAAGGGCCGTTCTTTCGTTAAAAAAAGCTAAGTTTAAGTCACATGTGTGCCCAGACTGCCTTTACACTACAGGCTGAGTAAAAATAAGAATCTATATATATATATATATTTATAAAACGGACAAGTCAAATCAAGCAATCTGATTGGTTCTTAGCCGTGATATACTGAGCGGACACCACGGGTAGAATTGTAAGTTACTTTTCACAACAAGTCAGTATCCCTCCGCGTCTGAGAAAAACAGTATACCGTTGGGCTGAAAAGCAAACTGCCTGCGCCTCGCGTCGGGCCGAACCACGCCCCTTAGCTGTGATATAATGAGCATATACCACGGCCTGTCGTGAGCTATTGCTTAAATATATGCAGTTATTGCAGGAAGAAAGTGATGCTCATTTAGCGTCATAAAGCAAGTTTAACCCTTAACCGTTTATTAAGTCTACTTCTGAAAGCTGCTATGCTTCAACATTTAAATTTGAGGGCAAAATTAATCAAGTTAGTTATAAATAAAAACGTCTTTATTGGGACAATCCAATTATTCATTATTAATAGGAGATGATATACTTGTTTACAATATAAAAAAAGGCAACACCAGGTAATTTAAATTGGCAGGTTTTTCCTTTGGCCTGATATACCAACACAATTATGCATCAAGACGATCCACCAGTTTGGACTAGAATTTAAGTATTATTTCAATATAAATAAATGTATTTTCTGCATTAAGCGTGTTCCCTGTCTGGCATTAAGCACTAGGCAAAGTTTAAAATATACTTAATCCGCGTTTGTTTTACCTAAGCAAACTAATGAAAGTGTTGAAGGCAAACCCCAAAAAGCAGTCATGCATTTCAGGTGCGGAATATCACATCTAACCACAGCAGTGACGTCCCATTTATTTTCCTTGTTGCATCAAATCAAGTCACACATAAGACTCTTCAGCGAATAGCAGCTTCTCAAAGTCTGGTTCGGCGGATGAAGGATCGCTGCATCTCCTCAACCACTCCCTGCGATTCTCCATGAGGGCGAGCGCCACCTGCTGGCCGCTTTGGGGATTACTGCGCGGGTGAGAGGAAAAGTAGTCCCTCACTGTCTTGGTGTCACATGGGGAGAGGCAGAAATGGGACTGTGGTGAATCCACATGGGAGATTTTGAGTCCTGGGTCGCTGGGAAGTTGTGCTCGTGTGAAAGTGGACGATCGATCCACGAGCACTCGCCCAGGTGCAGACCCTCGTCGCTCTCGGAGCATGGCGTCGCATCCTTCTTCCCCGGATTGAGACTTGTGTTGCTTGAACAGCGACAAAGAAGGCCTGCTATGCTTGAAGAATAAAGACGGAGACGAAGGCTTCATTTCACTCTCTGCAGGGGGGTCTGAGGAGGGGATCCACGGGGAATGTGTGGGGATTTGAAGACTCCCTGTGGAGCGGTGATGTGTCGGTTGTCTCCCCTTCACATGGCCTCCTCTTCCTCCTCCTCCTGCTCCTCCTCCTCCTCCTCCTCCTGAATCTTTAGAGGATGATATGGGAATGGGATGGCTGATTGAGATATGTTTTCTTCCTCCCTTGTCCCCCGCTTTTCCTTTCTCTGGTACAGCTTTCCCAGTAAGTCCGGCCTGTTTGGTAGAAAACACAGAATGACATTTGAGTTTAGTTTCTATTCTCTTCTTATTGCTTGGTTTGACCTGTTTTTTCACATTGTTTCAAAGTTAAGATACTAACAGTGACGTTAAGTGTGAATTAAAACTCAAAGGATGGTTATGTTGGTCGTTCTTTCGTTAAAAAAAGCAAAGTGAAGTTCTAGTTTAATCACAGTGTGTGCCCAGACTGCCTTTACACTAGGGCTGCTCCATTAATCGTATTTTAATCATATTTTAATCGCGATTAGGATTATGGCTTGCAACGATTAGGAAAACAACGTAATCGAAATAAAACGATTATTTTTTTATTATTATTATTACTTTTTTTAAATTCTTTTTTCAGTTGAATTATACTTAACGTTCAGGGTAATCAACTGTTAAAAACATACTGTTCAAATGTTTTTTCTCCAATAAATAGATGTTTTCAAAGTAAATGGATAATCGTTTTTAATAATCGTGATATCAATTATTGACCCAGTGGAGTGAGTGGAATATGTTGAATATGTTTTACCAAAATGTTGGCTATATGTTAAGGAGTGTTCAGGTTGTGACAGTGCACTAAAACATGTTTGTTGTCTTGTTTATTGGTATTTATTATTTTGATATTATTTATTTAAATGTAGGCATGAATGTATAATTTATTTGATTTGGTTTTTCAGTTGATTACCCTGAACGTATAATTCAACAGTTCAAAAATTCAAATTATTATTTGTATTTGTTTTAAAGTACAATAAATGGATGTTTTCAAAGTCAATGAATAATCGCATTTAATAATCGCAATTACAATTATTGACCCAGATAATCGAGATTATGATTTTTTAATCGAGCAGCCCTACTTTACACTACAGGCTGAGTAACAATAAGAATCTATATATATATAAATGCAGTTATTGCAGGAAGAAAGTGATGCTCATTTAGCGTCATAAAGTAAGTTTAACCCTTAACCGTTTATTAAGTGTACTTCTGAAAGCTGCTATGCTTCGACATTTAAATTTGAGGGCAAAAATAATCAAGTTAGTTATAAATACATCTTCTTTATTGGGACAATCAAATGATTCATTATATATATATAGTTGTATTGGGAGATTATATACTTGTTTACAATATAATTATAGTGGCGACTGTGGCTGCGCAATCGTCTTTCAACCAGAAGGTTGTGAGTTCGATCCCAGCCCGTACAGCCAACATGTCGATGTATCCTTGGGCAAGATACTTAACCCTGAGTTGCTCCCGATGGCCGACGGTGTGTGAATGTTAGCTCCTAGAGTAAGGTGCACTGCTCTGCATGAATGGGTGTGAATGGGTGAATGACATGTAGTATGTAAAGCGCTTTGAGGGGTCTTAAAGACTGGATAAAGCGCTATATAAGTACAGTTCATTTACCATTTACAATTTAAAAAAAGGCAATTTAAATTGGCAGGTTTGGCCTGATATACTTTATATTTATATATATATATGCTATCTTTACTAAATATCATCAATACTCACCCCAGTTTTGTCGTCTTCCTCCTTCTCCACGTTGTCTTGCTGGGTCAGGGACAGCTTCCGGCCTTTCTTCAGCCAAGAGTTTGGATGGAGGCCCCTGCACACTTTCAATGTGCCCCAGTTTAGTGCTTCCTTTGCTGGGGAGCCTGGGTGTCCACTAGAGGGCAGAGCAGAGCTTACAGAGGAGGGAGAAGAGACAGGGGGATAGCTTGGAGGGAGATGGTTCTTGTTTGGGTGCATCCCTCGTCGTTTGGCCCATGTTCGGTCACTGATATCGGAGTTGAGAGAGTCCAGGGAGGAGCGTGTAGCTGTGGGGGAATTTGTGGTAGAAAGGAGGCGAGGAGAGCTAATTTCCAAACCTGTTTTCCTCAGTGTCAACGCCATCTCATCTTCTTTATCCTTACCAGAGAGAGTACTCCTGGAGACACACGGGCGAAACTTAGCCACGTATTTAATCGCTGGCTCTGAGCATCTTCTTGGTCTGTGAGGAGATAGAGAATCAAGGGATTGTGTATCATGAGTGGAGCTTGAAAAGTGTGCATGCTCCTTCTTCCTCCTGTTGCTCTTTCTCCCCTGCAGGTGCAGCTTCAGCCCCTGCATGTTTGTTTGCAGTGAATCTGGCTCTTGCTCGCAGTCGCTGAGCGTGAGGATGGAGTCCAGGCTGCCTTGGAGAGGTTTGGCTCGGCTGCAGAAAGCCGGAGAGCTGCTGACGTCCAACTCGTTCTCCAGACTGTCGTAGGACGAGTCGGTCAGAGGGTAAAGCCACGAGTCTGAAGAGAGAGAGGGATGCAAAGACATAAACAAGACAGATGTAGGAACGTTTTGAGTTTCATTCAAACACCTGAACTTTTGAAAGATATATATATCATTCTATTTACTTGACTCTTCTTGCACTATTTCAATTTGATTTGTATTTACTTGCAAATCTCAAAACATTCTCTTGCACTATTTTATCTGTTTTATTTATTCTATGTCGTATATATATATATGTTGCTCTGTTGGAGGAGCCTGTGACTTCAGTTTTTCATTGCCATATCTACAATAAGGCAAGGCAAGGCAATTTTATTTATATAGCACTTTTCAGCACGTGGCGATTCAAAGTGCTTTACAAAATAAAAACAAAAGATATTTAAAAACAAATACAGCATAAATACATTATTAAAAAGGCATTTAAAATCAGGCATAAAAAGCAAAGGTAATGAAATAAAATAAATAAATAAACACAGCAGGTACAGAATACATGACTAAAAAGGCACACTAGTAGGCCTATGGGAAGCTCAATTAAAAGCGGCGGCAAATAGGTGCGTTTTTAGTCGGGATTTAAAAATAGGAAGTGTTTCGGCGGACGTGCATGATTTGGGCAGTTTGTTCCAAATTAGGCGCGTTCACACCAAGTACTTTTCCCACAAAGGTTCCTGAGAACTCTTTAGTTCTCATGGATTAAGTACAGATCGCGTTCACANCCCAGGTGATGAGAGAGCGCCTCCTTTTGAACGGCTTCTGAGACAAATCTGAGAAGAAGAACACAGTATCCCAGAATGCAATAGCAATTAAGAGGATCAGGATCAAAATGATAGATGGATAGATGGATAGGTAGGTAGGTAGGTAGGTAGGTAGGTAGGTAGGTAGGTAGGTAGGTAGCTAGGTAGGTAGGTAGATGGATGGATAGATGGGTAGGTAGGTAGGTAGGTAGATATGTAGGTAGGTAGGTAGGTAGGTAGGTAGGTAGATGATGGATGGATAGATAGGTAGATAGGTAGGTAGGTAGGTAGGTAGGTAGGTAGGTAGGTAGGTAGGTAGGTAGGTAGGTAGGTAGGTAGATGGATGGATAGATAGATAGGTAGGTAGGTAGGTAGGTAGGTAGGTAGGTAGGTAGGTAGGTAGGTAGATGGATGGATAGATGGATAGATAGGTAGGTAGGTAGGATAGATGGATAGATAGGTAGGTAGGTAGATAGGTAGGTAGGTAGGTAGGTAGGTAGATGGATGGATAGATAGATAGGTAGGTAGGTAGGTAGGTAGGTAGGTAGGTAGGTAGGTAGGTAGGTAGCAAGGTAGGTAGGTAGATGGATGGATAGATGGATAGATAGGTAGGTAGGTAGATAGGTAGGTAGGTAGGTAGGTAGGTAGGTAGGTAGGTAGGTAGGTAGGTAGATGGATAGATAGATAGATAGATAGATAGATAGATAGATAGATAGATAGATGGATAGATAGGTAGGTAGGTAGGTAGGTAGGTAGGTAGGTAGGTAGGTAGGTAGGTAGGTAGGTAGGTAGGTAGGTAGGTAGGTAGATAGATAGATAGATAGATAGATAGATAGATAGATAGATAGATAGATAGATAGATAGATAGATAGATAGATAGATAGATAGATAGATAGGTAGGTAGGTAGGTAGGTAGGTAGGTAGGTAGGTAGGTAGGTAGGTAGGTAGGTAGGTAGGTAGGTAGGTAGGTAGGTAGGTAGGTAGATGGATGGATAGATAGATAGATAGATAGGTAGGTAGGTAGGTAGGTAGGTAGGTAGGTAGGTAGGTAGGTAGGTAGGTAGGTAGGTAGATGGATAGATAGATAGATAGATAGATAGATAGATAGATAGATAGATAGATAGATGGATGGATAGGTAGGTGGGTAGGTAGGTAGGTAGATGGATAGATAAATGGATAGATAGATAGATAGATAGATGGATAGGTAGGTAGGTAGGCAGGTAGGTATGTAGGTAGGTGGGTGGGTGGGTAGATGCAATACATTCCTGTAAATGAGCATTGTATACATAATAAAAAATGATACATGAGTAAAAACTACATTTCATCCCTTTTTAAACAGATATTGATCTCACCTGCAGATTCCTGCGGTGCTTCATTGATCCGAGGCTTCATAATGAACTGGCACTGCTTGTACACCTGCATCTGCTCCACCTGTCTGTCTGCCGCTCTGCTCCCCTCCCCCTGAGACCCCGCCTGTCTCACATGACTCATCTGGATACTGAAGGGAAACTCATGACCTGAGAGGGAGGACAAGAGGCAATATAACTCCCCGCAGGCTGGTTAGAAAAACATGGATAACATCACATTACTACTCAGCACACACACAGTGACCTCTCGCTTTCACCCTGCAGGAGATACAGTACACAACACACTCTCTTCTCCACGAATGAATGGTGCTAGTGTGTCTAAAAAACAAACATCTCACCCTCGTGTCAGCGCTTAGAGCTTCTCAAACTTTCTCTGCAGAAGCGAAACAGAAATGACCTGAAGACTCAAAGTGGTCCTGACTTACTGACCTATCAGAGGATAGGGGGCGTTGTCCCTCTTGGAGATGACCCACAGCTGGAAGTCTTTCACATTTCCCTGAGCGAAACACAGAGAGAGACGGTCAGAAAAACAAGAAACACTGGGAGAACAATGCCTTTAAAACCACACAGTCGGTCCTGCAGAAGAGGAGGAATACATTTTAGGATAAGAGATGTAAAAAGAGTAGAATTATCTTCCACGCTGTGGGTTTATATCACATGCAACCTGCACACATGAGCTGGAAAGAGGCTACAGGGCGTCTGTGAAAACGTTAGTTGTTCTGAGTTGTATGGCATTGATGATTATGTTAAACTTAAAGACATCAGGGAAACCAGGACCGAGATCTTTCGAAATTTTAGGAGATACAACACAAAATGGAAAGCCCTCACTACATAAACGCCTGCAGGTTAACATAATGAAAACGTATCTAATCAAAAACGGAGATATTTCAGCAGCAGTGTCAGGTCATTCAAATAAGCACCTTACTTAAAGGGGACCTATCATGCAAAATGCACTTTTGTACGTCTTTTCTACATGAACATGTGTCCCTGGTGTTCCAGGGAACTCACCAAGTGTCAGAAAACACAACCCTCTCTATTTTCCTCCATACCCAAATCTCTTAAAAAAGGGGCTGCAACGGATCTGATACAGACTGATCCAGATTTGAACACTTCTATGACGTCACAGAAGTGGCGCTACGGCTATTGGGCCAACTCCACCAATCAGGAGGAGACAGCCACGGACATTGCCGTTGGAAAGCGCTGGAGACGCTGTAGTACATATGCCAGGCCTGTAGATGGTGCTGTTCTCACAGAATCAGCCCATGATGCAAAGACAGTGTTCAATTGAGCGAAATGAGGAATGGCTAAAATGCATGATCTGTTTGGTATTTTGAAAAATAAAAAGTATAAATATGCATTATATAGGTATGGTCCTACACTATATTATTCACATATAGCATGATAGGTCCACTTTAATATTTAAACAGTTAACATGAGCAATACATGTGTTTCTTTAAGTAGTTCTTTGCTGTTTACATCAGATCACAAACAGCCAGAGCATATGTTACAACACATGAAATGAAATGCAATTAAAATGTGTGTTTCACTCACTATGATGCCAAACTGCTGCAGGGCCAGGCGGATCACCTCATTGGTTGAATCTGAGTTGCTGACAGGAAGCGTCTTGGCCTAATTGGGATAGAAAGACATGTTGACAAACTGTGAAAGCTTAAGTGAGAATAATATGGTGCTGGTGTGTACAATTCATCCTGATAACATTGCATCATTTAAACTTACAATAGCAAAAGTATTGATCCCCTTCCCATAGACCCTCAGAGGAATAGTTTTAGGTTCCTCCTTCTCCTTCTCTTCTTTTATCCGACTGGAAAGGAAGCCGAGAGGAAGCTTTACTCGTCTCTCTTCACACACACACGGACACACTTTATGTTTATGCATGGAGGCAGAGTTTACCTTTTGAGAAGGGAGAGCCATCTCTCCTTCTGTTCTGCTGAGCTGAGGAGAACATGGAGAAGATGTCATTAATTTCAGAATAGGGCTTATCCTGTCTGCTTTCTGATCACTTGGCAAATAAGGGCAGGTTTACAGCATCAACAACAAATTTACTAATGAACGTAAACACATTTTCTACAGCCTCTGACGCAAGAAGCTTCATTTGTACATTAGCTACAGTGCAGTTATGACAATGCACATCTTAGGGGATGTGTGTGTGTGTGTGTGTGTGTGTGTGTGTGTGTGTGTGTGTGTGTGTGTGTGTGTGTGTGTGTGTGTGTGTGTGTGTGTGTGTGTGATAGTGTGTGTGTGTGTGATAGTGTGTGTGTGTGTGTGATAGTGTGTGTGATAGTGAGCGTGTGTGTATGTGTATGTGTGTGTGTGTGTGTGTGTGCGTGTGTGTGTGTGTGTGATAGTGTGTGTGATAGTGAGCGTGTGTGTATGTGTATGTGTATGTGT